CCTACCCAAAACACACATGGTGTCTACAGCACTGGCTACTTGCTATTTCCTGAACAGTCTGCATCTTGCTCACTTGCTCAAATTGTACCCCACAGGGACCTCTCCTCCCCTGTCCTTGGAAGACTTTAGAAGCAAAGCCAGGAGGGAGAACTGTCCTAGGCCTGACCCCAGCTGGAGGCTCCTTTGCCTTTAGAGACACAGCAAGGATTCTTGAAAAGAAAAGTAGGGACCAGGAAAAGACTAGGAAGATGAAGTGCACACTGCTATAGCTACACAATCAGCAAAGAACAAGTCAGCCCTTAACACTGTCCAATTAAGACAAACAGCCCTGGGTATGGTCACATGTGCCTGGAATCCCAGCACTCAGGAGGCTGAAGGAGGAGGATCACTGTGAGTTCAAGGCCAGCCTGGACTACTTAATGAGACCTTGGCTCAAAACACACACACACACACACACACACACACACGCAAGCCTACAATGCCAGCTGTGCTTTCCCTTGCTCTATGGCCATGGGCCACCCATGTTAAGCTGCAAGGCTTGTGGTCCTGTGTTGGAGCAGCAGCGGGACACCAAACACCCCATTCATCTCAGGCCGCTGTCTGGGTGTGGAAGGGAATGTGTTAACAGGAGACACAACTCTGGAATGGGATGGAGAAAGGGGGGTTTGTGGGTGATTGGTGGCACCAAGAAGAAGGCGGGCCACTGCTATGACAGATGCACAACACAGCCAGATGGCAGGGAGAACTATTCAGCTCACAGAGGATCAGAGTAGACGGAAGTAAGGCGCTCGAGAGAGCAGGAAAGGCTTCCGGAAGGAGGTGCAGCCAAGCCCAGGATGGAGCAATGAAGTGCAACAAGAGCTCAGCACCTCAATATGGTCTCTCCTCTCACGATAGGAGCCTTGACAGGCACTAGAGCTCAGTGAGGGTACTTGCCCCGCACATTTGAGGCCCAGAGGGGAGGATGGACGTGTGGACTGAACACAGGGAATCTAAAATGTGCCACAGTCTCCGAGTCCCGGTGGGGTAGGCTCCAGAAGCAGCTCCAAGCCACTTTCCCCTGTACCTTAATTCCAGCATGTTCCATCTTCTACCTGTGCCAACCACTCTCTGCTGGAGCTAGACACCAGCTGGACCTCACAACCTCCTGGCACACCAAAGGTGCTGACAAACCAGAGACCCCATCAAGTTCTTACTCTTGTTCTCAGTTGTGGTACTGGGAATTGAACCCAGGGCCCTGCGCATGCTAGACAAGTGTTCTAGTACTGAGCTACACCCCTGGTCTCTAAAGTTGTTTTTTTTTTTTT